TAATATGTTTTATTTAGGTATCATGTTGCCCTCCTATTACCCTTTGATTTCTTTTAACAGTTATATTCCATCTGGATTGCCAACTCATCATCCACGTAGGCCATTCATTTCTTCATTCAATTCTTCTTGCTCATAGATCTCTCAAGCCTTGTGCTTGCTCGCTCACTCTGGTTCCTATTGTTACTCATTTCATTGCTATTTGATGCCTGTCAGCTAGTCCAGCATACTTCAATGCCGCTTACTTAAAACATTATCAAATCATCCTTCAGAATATTTCACATATCCCAACCATCCTTCACCTTTATTTCTTTTCCTGGCGCTCACTTTCCTTCTACCGTTACTAATAATGGCATTCACGCTAGATGGGTACCAAATGTGACATAGCTACCACCACCTACTAGTTTTAGGTTTGCAATTTTACGGGTACAAATGGAGATTGAAGAGCCCTAACAATAATGGGTTGTTCACACTAGTAACAAATCTGTGTTGGAGGAGAAAAGAATGGTAGGTTGAACTTCAATTCACTTTGATTGTTTGTTTTTTTCCCTTTTCCCATCTCAACATGTTGAAATCTCTAAATATCTTGGTATGTGATTTTTGGGTGTGGTTTTCTAATAGGCTTTGTAACTTTTCCAACTTTTCATCTATGTCTTGTTTGAGAGAAGCATCCTTTTCGTGTTTGGGAAACAAAGTGTTTATGAAAATGGCATCTAAGAGATTGGATTTGAGGGTGCTGTAACATCCCAATTTAATCCCTTGATTGATTAAATATAATTAGAGTAATTAAGTAAATTAAAGTAGTGTGTGGCTAAAGAAGTCATATAATCATATTTGATTGTATTTTAGCTCTAATTATGGGTTCGGTATTAAGGTAGGCCACCCAGGCGTCGAAAGAAGAAGAAAAATAAAGAGTGATATTGTTGTGCCACATGCAATGACGTGGAGATCGTTCATCACAATGCACAGACACTTTTGATGTAAGGGAGGACCTCTCTGTGCCATACGCCCTAGCACATTGTGCGTCCATTGTGGTGTATAGCCATTTTCTGCAGATATCAATTGCGAAAATGAGACAGAAAAAGAAAGAAGAGAAAAGAGAAAACAAAGAGATGCACCAATGCTCTGCTAGGGCACGACTTAGATGAGAATTTGAGAAGGTTTGAAGCTCTAAATCATTCAAGGTAAGATTCCTAAATCCTTTTTCTCCTTTCTTCTTCTATTTTTTCAAGGATTTGAGTTAAGGTTTAGATAATGATAGTGATTTTGGTCTATATGAGGGACGGGTCTAAACTCATTGACTCAAATGGAGTTAAATGAAATTGTTTAGAGTATTTAAATCTAGTATAAATAATTTTGGTAGTTGTTAGATGATGGGCTCCATTGTCCAAAAATGAACATTAAATTTGTTTTTATTGTGGTTGTTGAGGTATTAATGGTAATAATAAAGCTATATGATATTAAAGATAGATAATGAATCCAATGAATAGGCTCCAACTCATGTAAAGTGAACATTAGACAATTTAAAAGTAGAGGATTGAGGGTGTAAATGCTTGAAATGGTAATGTTATTGAAATTCAACTTGTTTTATTATAGTTTTGGCTCTTGGTCACCTATTGGATTAAAAAATTCAAGCTTAAAAGTTAGTAAATTGAGGAGTAAATCTTTGACTTCTCAAAGGTTTGAGGTAATTGAGAGAATCCTACTTTGAGTAGTTATATGTTAATTGATTATTAAATATGAATTGTGAATGTTACATGCACATGATTAATTTTTAATGTAAAACTATATATCAGTTTTCAATTAGTGTATGAAAACTTGAATGTGCAATAACGCTATGTTTGGCTTAAAAATGCAAAATATGAAGTTAGGAGGATTTTCAAACTATGAACATGCTTATGTTTTTGAAAAATGAATGTGATGATGTGTAAAGGTAATTATGTGTTAATAAGAATTGGATTTTAAAATAAATGAGAATAATATTGAAAAAATGATAAGAATACATACTTGGGTAGCGCATGGTCGTGAGTCTAACATAATTGTTGTGATAATGAGTAAACGAAAAAGAAAGTATGAAATGAGTGAGTATTGATTATGGCATGATCAATGACAGGAGTTTTCTTATGGATTGGGAGTAAGAAAAAATTCATATAGTATTTAGGCTGCCCTTCGATGTACGGGGGTATAGCCTTGTCCCACAAGTTGTCGAGGGACTGTCCCATAGTTTGTCGAAGGACTAGAACCTAGCTATCTCGACCAGTTCAATGAGGAGAATAGCCTAGAATATGAGACACCCCAGGGATTCAAGAATGGGGAAAGTCATAGTCTGAGAGTGAGTCCTGTGATCTTTGGTTGGGTCATACTCACAATTGGTGAGCTTGGGTAGCTCAATCACCCGAACGGAGCCCTAATTAGTGTTATAGCCCACGGTTTCGATATGAGAAAATAAGGAGGATATAAGGTTGGTTTATAGGGCCAAAATATTAGTACAAGTGTAGAAATAATGATTTGAACATGTTCTGAATGATTTGGGCGAAATACAATGATAATTTACCTCCCCCTCTATTTTTGGTAATATGAGGTTGAGGAATGAATTTTTTTTATACTGTTGTTTTAGTGCTTGTGATGTATTGTATTGGTAGTTCCAAGTCCAATGGACATCGTTTAGGTGTTAGAAAAGGCTTTTGGCACATGTTAAAGGTTTTGGACACCTATTTTATGCGAAAGTTGTGAAAAGTGGTTAAAATGCGGTTTGGATGTCCAACTTCTCGGTATGACTTGTTTTGAAAGTGAAACCTATGCCATTAGCTAGTTTATGTAAAGAGCTTTTCGTAAACACCTAAATCACGTCATTCAGATGTTGAACAGAGAATCGGAGCACGTTGGAAGTTCTCCCAATTTTATTGTCAAATGATAGCAAAATCAGTTAAATTTTTGTGCAACACGCCACGGCGCGACGAGTGGCACAGAGAGCAACATGCTGCGATGCATTGCTTTGTCACACATTAAGAGAGTTGTTTTTTACTTCTTTTTGACTTCTTTCACTCTTCCAAGGTATCCCATGCTTCCGTAACTTATTTTTACTCTAATATAAAGGATTTTGATTGATTTAAACTCATTTTATTTAAAAACTTGGGATCCCTTGAATTTGCATTAAAGCTTGGTAATCATCTTTTTGAGTTGATTTTCTGATTACCAAGAGCTACATTGGTTAATCATGTTTAGCGGAGTGAGAATATTACAGGTGCCATTCTGGGTTTCATTCCTGGAGAAGCATTTAACTACTATTCTAAGTTTCATTCTTGCTCCTTGCTTCAACTGAGAAAGTAATTAATTTAATTTTCTAGCTTGATTTTTGTGTTCTTTGGGAAGTAATTTTTTTTTTATGTTCTGGATTTTGTCTTGAAAATTGGATTTGAGAGTGTCATTCTGGGTCTCTTTGTGTTCTTGATTTGCTATGTTTTTTTATTTGTTTGGTATTCTTCCTCTTTGCTCCTTGTTCTCTCTTTTTACCTATAGCTAAATTTTTTTATTTGCTAAGATTGTTTGATATGCTTGGTTCTTGTTTGATTTGCTAGGTTCTGTTTTGTAATAAGGGATAAGAAAGAAGAGGGATGGATTTTTTTTTTTCTTTTTTTTAATTTTTAATTTTAAAATATGTCATGTGGCTGCCAAAGTGCACAGCTCAATCAAAATAATAGTCAAAGTCTGAATATATTACCTTGAGGCGACATTGTACTTAAATAAAATATGTCAACATGAAATTGCATTAAAAATTACTTAAAGATATGGGGTGCACCTAAGTGAAAACATCAAATATATTTTTGTACCTTAACCCCATTTTTAATTGAAACACTCTATTAATATTAAATAAAAAGAAGTATGAAAAAATGCATAATTTTAAATGTCATTAACTTTTTTCTCCAAAAAATTGTCATTAACTTAATCTATTGGGAATGTAAATTAAATAAAAGTGAATTATAATTTTTAATAGAACAGTATTGGATATTTTAATTAAGGTTAATATATAATTTAGACCTTAAGCTACAAGTCCAAGGACAATTTGAATATTAAACTATTATTTAGTACATTTTAAACTCTAAACAATTAAAGTTAATATATTTTTCCTTCACTATTAAATTAAAGCAAATGTCTGCCTTTTTTTTTTTTAAGAATAGAGCTTAATATGCAATTTTTCTCAAAGGAGGGTAGGAGAGAGAGGAGAAGAGTGAAATTTAGTGAAAGCCACACATTAAATCCCATTTTATAAACACATAACGGACATTTGTTTTAATTTAACGGTGGAAAAAAATTACACTAACTTTAATTGTTCAATGTTCAAAATGTACTAAATAATAATTTATGGTTTAAATCACCTCTAAATCTATAGTTTAGGGTCTAAATTACATATTAACCCTTTTAATTATTTATCTAATTTTAAAATATTAAATGTGAAATTACCTACTTCTTTTAAGCCCAAATTATAAAGTATCTCTACCTACTTTATTCAAATAAAAAAGGAGTAATAAAGTTATTAACTTTGTTTGAAAAAAATTATAATTTTATTCATATTTAAATCAAAAATTCAAATTTACAATATATCAAATCATATTTCTTTCGTTTCTATATATGAGAGAAAAATTATATCACACAGTAAAAAAGTTAATTAATTATAATAATTATGTTTGAAAATAAAAAAATTAGACTAAAATATCATATGTTAATAAACATAAACATATATTAATTATTTTTCATTAATGTAAATTATAAGGGATGATTTAAAATTATTAAAATATGTAATTTTGTTTATATAAAAAATTAATAAAATATAATAATTTTTGTTTTAATAAATAGAAGCGTTGTAGAATGTGAGTAATTTTATCTTTTCCCCAAATATATACGGTGGGAGAAGAAAGTCCATAGACTAAACTACAATTATCTAGTTTAAATCCAAGCTGCGTGTAGGTGATTTCACCATCATTTGATGTGAGTATTCATCCAACCAATCCTTGTCTTGTTTCCTTCTCATCTCTCAATTTTTTCTTCTTCTTCCCTCCTCATTAATGTCACCAACGCCTTTCCGTTTTCTTCTTGATAAGTCTCTTTTCTCGCTGCACAAACATCTCTTTCATCTTCTCCCAACTGTCCTTTTACTGTGATCTTTGTTTGACAAATGCTCTTGAGCTCTTAGACAAGCATAACTACACCTCGTCTTCATCACTCATTTTCCCAGAATTTATGAACCCGAAAAGGCCAAGTTGAATCGAGTTTAGTATTGGTGTTTCTAGGGCTAAATCATGAGAACAATGTTGGGACGAATTGGGATCATAATCCTTTTCGGGGGGTCCTTTTACAGCTGTATTGGTCTTTGATGGCCAAAATCATCTTTGTTTTCTTCCCCACATTCTCTTACCTTCTGCACATTGTGTCTCCACAATGCTCAATTATGCAGTTCCCCACCTCACCTTCCACCTGTCTGTAACAATGCCTCATTGAAATTGTGTAACGTTGTAATACTATCTCACCTTTTCTTTTCTTTCTCTTTCTTTCTTTATCTTATAGATAAGAGGTCTTGACCTTTTTGGGCCAATCTCACATGATATCAAAACAAAAGGGCATGTCATACTCTGAACTTGAGGTCTTCGTTTTTTTAACCAATCTGATTGCCACTGTTTGGCATAAGAAAGAAAATCTTCCTCAACAATTAGTGGCTCACTTGGTTGGTTGTGGTTATTATTTGAGTTGAACTTGAATCTGTCCCAGTAATTTTATTTAACCCACACGAAATGATATTCTCTTGATGTTCAAGTATTATGACTATTTGAGTAGTGTTTTTATAAGATGATACTTCACAAGAGTTATACATATATATATTATATATATATTTTCATGTGCATGGTTTTTATATTGATAATTTCTTTAGTGGTCAGTCTTTTCTATCAGATTTTTTGGCGTTTATGACTTAATTAAGCACCTTCCTCTAAAATTCACTTGGAAAAAAAAATCTAATGATCAATCAAAGTTCAAGTTATTTTTCATTTTATATGTTGCTATTATATGAATCTATACTTCGGATCCTCTTAAGTGGATAATCTATAAAGTACTTGTGAGGGAAAAAATGACGCCATCAGTAAAATTATGCACTAGACTTTTCCTTTTTTGGCGAAAACATTGTGTATTAGATTTATACTTTCTTTATGTTCATCTATTGACTCTTCTTCTACATCACCTTTTTAACTTCTTACCTTATTTCACTGTTCGTAAATCTGTAACATATTGTTTAGAAGTCTCTTTGAAAATCTTTTGGTTTTCAAGGGTTAATTATTGAACACCTTGCTTTGAATAAAGATATCCTAGACGTCCTTTTAAGACTTTTAAATATGAGATTTGGCGCTTTAATTTTCCATGATATACTGACATATATCATATAATTATTTTGATGTACCAGAATAATGAAACTAAATTCAACAGCAAGAAAACAAGTTCATATTATAAAAGGATGGGCATCTTGCCCTTGCCATGTTTGATATTTTCTCATAAAAAGTGGGGCTAGCTGGAGGGATGGTTTTGTAATTTCACGCCCAACAGACATATGAACATGCCTGCTACAGTTGAGAAAACCAGAGGACCCATTGAACTGAGGAATTTCTCATGATTCATTCACAGGCTCCCTAAATGAAAACAAGGTAGCTCTGCTTTTTTAATTTATTTATTTCCTTTTCTTTTTCTCTTTCCTTCTTTTTCTCTTCTTTCCTCTCTTCTGTGTAATACTTGCTCTTGAAGGCCCACATTTTTTGAATTGAGGGAAACTCATAATAAAAAAGTTGGAAATTGTGAATGATTGGTTTCACCCACAGACCTCTTTTTTCCCTGAGTGTGTGCGTGTGTGTGTAGTTTCAGCTTCTCCCGAGAAATAAGCAAAGAAAAGAAAAACATGTGCTGCATCTTTCTGCATTTTCTGATGAGAATCAATCTCAAACTTCTGGGTATCTGATATTATAAAGAATGTTTGATGATTTCAAGGCTTTATTCTTTCTGAGTTTTCTGACATCACTAGCACTTGTTTCAAAGCACCAAGCTTCCTGAATCGGTGATTCTTGTCCCTTTCAACGAATTTTTGCAGGATTTCAGGAGATGGGTAAGCAATCAAACGTAGATCTCACTCCAAATCTTCTCAACCTTCATCATGTTATCCACTATCTTGACTTGTGTGCATTGCCGCTTAGTTTCACTTTAATGTTGATGGACACAATACTTGGCCTCCCACACCACTACTTCTGGAAAAAGGAAAAAAAAAAAAAAAACTATGACAAGTTCAGCAAATTGTTTATTTGTTTCTTCACGAGTTTAATGCTCCAGTCTGTAACGTACTGCTTCATTACTTAATTGCTTATTAGAGACATTCAGATGATTTTCAAGAGAGGAATATCTAATGGGCATATTATCAGATCACAGAAATTGCAGTTGTTGTACGTGAGATTGTTGAATGGCAAAGAGGAAGGGCTGGTTTAGTTTCGTGAAGAGGTTCTTTGTATGGGACACCCAGTCCAAACCAGAGAAGGTAACAGTAAACTCCTCTGTTTTTTTTTTCCCTTTTCTTTTCTTTTTCTTTCTCTTTTGATTAATTGCTGAAGTGATTCTTAGTAACTGATAAGACTGTCTTTTTCTTTTTTTCCAGAAAGAGAAAAGAAGAAAATGGATGTTCGGTATGGGAAGGCTAAAGGTAAAGAGATTACCTTCTATTGCAGCTCCACAGGCAACACTAAAAGAAATAAAAGATGTTGAAAAGCTCAATAATGGCAACCAATGTCATGAAGAAACTGAAGAATTACAAGTTGTCAAGTCCAGAATTGAGACTCGTCAACCCACATACCAATGCCGGAGGGCAATTGAAGAATCTGCAGCCATCAAAATTCAAACTACATTTCGGGGTTACCTTGTGAGTTTGCTCAATTCTTTTCCTCCATTTCAGCTTAAATTATTTTTCTCCATTATGTTTATCTTTTCTGCTAAATGCTCGCAGATGGATTTGGAAAAGTTTCATGAACACAAGTATAACCAACTGCTGAAAAACTAAGCTGAACAAAATTTCAGAGGGTGAACCTACTGGTTCAGAATATTTCTTTTCCTTAATTAGTACTTTAAAAAACAAGAATAAGATTGTTTAAGAGTTAAGAGAAGAAATCACTCCAAGTCATCCTTCTTTAAAAAAGAAAAATCCTACTTTAGTCTAAAGTAATAATCCAATAATCTCATCATTTTTCAAGCACTAGAGATTTATTTATCTCTAAATTTAACTTAAAGTAAACAAGTGACATTGAAAAAGCATGATGTTACTATGAGATTGATAGATTCTCATTCATTTTCCTCAATTATTGACTGGTATGACATTACAGGCAAGGAAGGCTCTAAGGGCATTGAGGGGAATAGTGAAGCTACAAGCTATCATCAGAGGCAGAGCAGTAAGACGGCAAACTATGAGCACTCTGAAGTGCTTGCAGTCACTTGTAGATATTCAATCACAGGTCTGTGCCAAGAGACTCCAAATAGTTAAAGGCAGATGGGCTCATGATGAGAGCGAAGAGATTCCAAGTTCAAGAGACAAGATCATAAGGGTAATCTCACAAGTTCTCTTTTCATTGCAAATTCATAACACATTTTGCACCTCTTTTATAAATGCAAAAGAAGAAGAAGACAGTTAAAATGCCTTGAAAATTAAAATTTCTTTTAAGAACTCTAGAAATAAGTTACTATTATTAGTGTATCCTGAAATTATTACTGACGCTCCTTAAAGTTATAACACGATCTCACAAGACTTTACAAGAGTATTTTCTTTTAAAATGTTTGTAATTTCAAGAAGATCAAGCTGTAACTTTAGAATGTGGACGGTAACTTATTTTTCATGGTTCTTTAAGAGGTCTATGTAACATTAGGAAAATTAAGTTGTATCTTTACAGAGTATGAATGGTAACAATAAGGAGTATGGGTAAAGAAATTTTGATTTTTAAAGCCTTTTAACTGTCATTAATATAAGTTTTTGGTATTTAACTGACATTTTCTCTTACAAATGATTTTCAAGATGATGTCCTTTTAAAATGTGAAGTCTGAATTATAAATTCGTATTTCAGATGGATTCAAACAGTGAAAGGAGGTGGGATTACAGCATTTTGTTGAAGGAAGAGACAGATGCTTCTTACATGAGCAAGAAAGAAGCAGAAGTTAAAAGAGAGCGAATGAAAGAATACTCATTCAACCATCGAGTAAGCTCTTGATTTTTGTTTTAGTAACGTATCCTCTCACTTAGAAACTCAGATAGTTAAAGAAAGATATTACTTTTAATAACTAAGCTAACTTTTTTGGTAACATCTTCATATTTTTCTTCAATATCATGTTGTATTTCCATTACCATGCATCGGTTCAAGATCATGCATGTGTATAGTTCTAATGCTAAATTTACTTGTAATATCGTCCCAGAGATCAGCAGAATCAGAGAGAAAGAAGGTAAATGGAAGGTGGAGGTATTGGATGGAGCAGTGGGTAGATACCCAACTTTCCAAAAGTAAAGAACTTGACGATTTAGATTCAGTTTTCAGTTCACATTACAGAGGGGGGGAAGAAGAGGGAGGAGGAAGAAGACAGCTTAATCTGAGAAATATTCAGAGTCAAAGACAAAACCATATTGAAGGCCTATATTCTCCAAAACTTGCTCCAATTAGAAAACCCTCTCCTCACAGAAGACAACATTCTCTGGGAAATGATGAGCCTTCAAGCCCTTCTGTATTTCCAACATATATGGCAGCAACAGAATCAGCCAGAGCAAAAGCAAGATCTTCAAGCTCCCCAAAGCTAAGAACATTGAGTGTGGATACAGCAAAACTTGATGGGAACTCACCATGCAAAAAGAAGCTATCTTTTGTATCTTCTTCCATTAACCAGCAAAGATCTCCAAGTTTAAAGGGAGTTTCAGGACCTGTAAGATCAAGCAGGACAATGAAGGATCTAAGCATCAACTCAGATAGCTCATTTCTGCACGGATACAACAGAGGTAAAATTCTTTAGGCGTTTGCAGTCAAGTTTTTCATAAGAAAGTGTTCTGTTTTTATGGAAAAATGGATTGGGGGGAAAGACTAAACCTAAAATTTGTCTTTTGTAGATTGGGATGGACCAGGTATCTTCAAATGAAGCTTTGGATTCTTTTTGATTAATGAAGCTTTGAATTCTGATGCTGCTTGCATTAACAGACCTCTTTGTGGGCTTGAAGAGTGTTCCTTGTAAATTTGAGTGGATATTATTGTTTTGACTTGGGAAAACATTAATGTGAAGATTGTTAGTTGTTACTGAAAAAAAGACTCTGCCTTGTTTGATAGGAAAAGAGAAAATCATTTCCGGTTGTTTCTTCTCCTTGTAATGTTTTTTGTATCATTGTAATTACTGTGTAGTAGTTTTTAAATATCTTTTATGAAATCCAAAATGAAGATAATAAGTTCATTTTATATTATTTCATATTTTTTTATTTTTTATTTCATATATTTAATTTGGTTTACTAAATGAACTTACATCTTTATATTAATGAGATTTTAACTTGACAAGGAAAGAAAGTTTTTACCATAATATCGGTTATATATTGACCGTTATTAATTAAAAAAAGAAAAATTAAATATATATTAAATTTTTTTACATCGAATTAAACGTATCATGATAGTAGCAACTTTTAAATCTCGAAGGCAATGGTTCAGTTACCAATGTTTCACTAAGTAGACCAGCTTTGCGAGTATAAATTAAATGTATAATTTCTTTTTTTTTTTAATGTACAAATGTCTCATGAATGGTAGGTGGGTGCTAAAATTTGGGTTGCAAATGTTAATCGAATCTTGCTGGGCCAAAAAACAATGTTAATTAAACCTTTGGGCCGAAAGAATGTCAGCAGAATGTGGGCCTTATTACGTCAGTGGAACCAGATGCGTTAGGAGTGTGGTGATTGTACATAGATATTTAAATATCATATTTATTATTTCATTAATAATATATTTTCATGATAATAACATAAAATAATGTTTAAAAATAAAAATTTTTTAACTATCAATAATAATTTTATGCTTAACAATTGAATTATCAATTATATATATATATATATATATATATGGAAGAATAGCGTCACGTATTTTGCCACTAGAAAAGCAATGAAAATATGATAAAGGAAAAAAAATTAAAATTTCAGAATTTCTCAAGTCATTCAAGTAATGTTTTACTTATTTTTCATAGTCTGGATAGAATTGATATTAATCATATTTTTTAATATGTGGAAATGGACAAAAAAATAAAATGAACTGGAGAAACAAATAAATAGATGTTAAATAATGTTAAGTTTTAAAGTGTCAAATTTTCTTAATATTTTTAATAAAAAATTAAATCAAAACAATAAAAATCACATGCTGATAAAATAACGTAAATCAAATAAATAAATCATTCATTTCATCACTCACTATTCTATTATCATGCAAATAAAATGTCACAAGAAACTCACATTTTATTACCAATGATAATATTATTACACAAATGCATACTAAGTCATCATATAGTAAGACAAATAGATTCTTTGTATCTAACTTTGTCCTAATTTAAGTAAAAAAAAAAATTTTTCAAAAAAAAAAAGACAAGAAATCCAAAGGAGCAATATGAAAACAATAGATTCAATGGTAGTTACACCTTAATTATATTCAATTTAGTTTATAGAGTACTATGATACATATGAAAAAAGTGACAATGATCATTTGGAAAAAGTAAAAAAAAAAATCCCAAAATCACAGTCATATTTGCATAATTAAAACTATGATTAGCTGACCATTAATTATTTTTGTATAATATTTTATAGCTCAGCTAGAAAACAAAATAAAAGTTAGTCTAACCCACCAGGTTCTATGAATCTAGTTCTACTATAGACTTTAAAATGCTCCAACATTGTACTCATTAGAAACGTGAAAGTGAAGATTTGCCTCCACTTAAATTATATTGTTGGAGAGTTGTGAGGTGTGAGGTGTGAGTCTTTTTTTACATTTGGGTCAAAAAGTTGTGACTTTGAGTTGAAGAAACACGGCTTCAAACAATTGTCTTTGGACTTGGACCTAACCAACGTTTCATAGTCAGTGGCAGAGCACATAGATTTAAATTTTGGAATATTTTATTAAAATATTATGAACAATGCAATTATTTTTTGGAAAAAAAATTCTCGTAAGTGTCAACAGAGTTACTATAATGTTTTTTTATTAGAGAAGCAAGCACTAACAGCTAAGAATTATAAACATGATTGAACTCGCGACCTCCCATTTATAAGAAACGTTACATGTCACTACACTTAAAATTACAACAAATTTGAATGATATTGTGATTTACATAACTTTGATAACAACTTTATTAAATCTAATACTAATAAAGGTTAGTTTAATTGATAAGAATTTGATTCATAATTTATAAAATTATAAAATTAAATCTTGTTGTTGATGTGAAAACCTTGTTATTGAGTGATATGTAAATGTTATAAGCACTATTTGATCCTAGAGGCAACTCGCCTAAACTTTTTTCATTAAAAAAATTTTCTTAAGTCTAATATTAAAAGATTATTAAAATATTTGAAGTTTGAAAGTAACTTTAATCATAAAATATTTATGATTTTCAAATTTCTCTACAAACCTTATGAAATTGGAGTCATTATTAAATATAAATCACACAGTTGTGTGTATATGTATGTGTTGTGTGTGTGTGTGTATTACATGGACCTTTTCCGATTTTAAATAAAGCAGATATTTATCGAGATTTTATTGAAATCACATAAATATTTATTATTTTTAAAAAAAATTTATATTATCATTAATATATATAATTGGGAAAACCACTTTGTCACATAAAGTCTTTATAGATTATCCATAAATATTCCCTTCCATCCTTATTATAAAGAAAAGAATATTTTTGTATCCTAATTCTAAATTATATCATTAAATTTTTCTTATAAATTTCTTATTCTATCCCTCATTAAATAGGTGTTAGAAAAAATATATTATTAAAACATCTTTATTTAATATTCACCAAAAAATTATGTATATTTAATAAAATTAAATTTAATAATTTATTAAATTTTTAGATAGAGTTAATGTGTTTTAATATTTTTTTTAGTTTTAATAAAACATATTAAAAATAAATTATAAATAGGACTATGGAAGTAAAGTTATTATTTTAAAATCAGGATTTAAACTTATAGCTTCTTGAGATATAAGTCACATCTTTGCTCACTTAACCAACTTTTATTGGCTAATCACATAAAAAAATTTAATAAATGTTAATTTAGATATTCTTGAGAAAATTTGATGTAAAAAGAAGCCAAAAAACAAGAAAGAAAACGTATTGCGTTGAAATTTAGGACATGAAACCCACAAATTACAAGGCCAATATTTCCACAAGTTTCCATGTAATTTAGCTAATTATCAATTTCAACTTTTGATTGGACAAAGCACTTGTCAATCAGATAGAATTTTATCCTTTTTTTTTCTTTACAAAAAAAAAAATGGTGAGTCAAACAACTCGTTAAGATCAATGTAGATCTCATAACTCAAAATGTGTTTACAAATGAAATTTCTCAATAGTAAAGTCATTATATTAAAAGAAAATTTTAAAATCATGCGTTAAAAATATACCTAACTTATTTACTGATTAGATCAATTTTTATTATCATATAGTGACATAAAAAGTTTGATAAATGTCATTAATACATATATTCTTGAGAAAATTAAAATAAAAAAGTAGAAGGAAAGAAAACATTATGATGAAAATAAATTGAGGACATGAAACTTCCACTCACTTGGTCAAGAAGAATAGAAGATACAGAGAGAGACGGAATCGACAATTATTATTGGAACAGAAAATGACAGTTAGGGTTTGGACTCTGATGTAGTGAAGCAAATAAATATGGTTTGAATTTTAACACATTGAATCATTGCGTTCGACAACTTTAATTTGATAGGCTGCCTTGTCTCTTAGGCTCTTGAAATTATTAGTTAGTGGATACATAAATCTGCAGCTTCTCCATTTGAACCATAATCATTTTTTATATGGTTCATGAATTTTCAATTAAAATTAATTTATAATAAACTTATATGGTTTTTTAATTAATGAATTTAGATTCTAGATTTAAATTCATGTATATAAAATTCTTTTTTTTACCAACAATATATAAAATTCTTTGTTTAGATATTGTAAAAAAATTTCAAAGGAAAAAGATAGACAAGCTAAGCTAATATTTGAAGTGAAAACAAAAGATCGAGAGTAACAAATGTAGCTCTATCCTATAGCCGGCGAGAGATGAGTTAAGAGATAAGAGTGATAGGGCTACAACGGTAAAAACATGAAGAGTACTAAGATGATTAAAATGGCTAAAATTTTAGATAATTAGAATGTAGATGGAATTTAAATCATAAAGGAATATAATAAGAAAATATTTAATTTGCATCCATATAGATTATGTATCCAAATGAAGAATGTGATCCAAATTCAAATCAAACCTGAATTCCCATTAATCCTAACAAAATATTAGGAAAATTGACAACTAAGAACTAATCAGAGGTCAGAAATCAATTTTATGCCACATTTATGGACCAAAGACTTTAAATGTTATAGGAAAATACCATACTCTCTTGAAATAAAATATAAAAAAAATGATAATAAAATTCTATCAAAATATAAAAATAATAATTAGGTCTCTCAAAATGTTATAATTTTTTTAAAATTTTAAGGTACTTTTTTAAAATTAATGATTTTAAGTTGAATGACTAAATTGTCCCTTGTTTTAAACAAAAAACAACAACTTCACATGAAAAATTATAATTTCTTATTCAATTCTTATAATTTATAAAATAAAAGTTATAATTACTTAAAAAAAGTTTATAATTAATTATTTTTAAAACTTGAACTTCAATCATAAAATAATTTTCATGTGAGGAATTATAATTTCTTATTCAATTTTTGTGATTCACAGAAGAAAAGCTATAATTACTTAAACAAAAGTTATTGTTGGTTATTTTCATAATTTGAATCTCAATAATAAAAAAATTTCATGTGAGAAGTTTTAATTTTTTGTTCAATTTTTACAATTTACGTAATAAAAGTTGTAATTAAGAAAAAGAAACCAAACTCATTATTTTTATTTTAAATCAGGCACAATTTAGTCAGTTAATCTAAAATTATTAATATCAAAAAGGTATATAAAGACTTTAGATGAATTATGATATTTCGAAGGATTTATTTATCATTTATATATTTTGATTGGATTTTATTATTATTTTTCTTATAATTTATATTCGTATATATGAAATTGTAAATAACTTATAAAAAGTTTCGTTAGCTTCATCTTGCAATTTTATTAGAGTGAAAGCAGGTCTTATAATTCAAAAAGTTCTTATAATAATACATTATAGTTAGCAATTAAATCTTCACCTTTGAAGTAAAATTTGA